CTTAGGTTTAAAGTAGGGAATTGGAGGCTGGGGCTGGGACGCAACTCTCAGATGGGAACCCCAGACGGGAGAGGGAAGAAAACTGATGGCCAGATGCAGACACAGGAGACAGAGGAACTAAGGTTGGAGCTGCCCAGAGAGGCCCTGAAGAGAACAGAGACGCGGTGGGGCGGGGGCGGGAGGTGGGAAGGAGCTGGGGCGGGGCTGTCTTTGCCTCGGCTGGTCTTCCCTTCCACCGAGGAGGGCGCGCACCGCACGGGCAAGGCTCCCAGAGCCCAGGTGTCAGTCGGGCAAGGTGAGGGTTCCTCGTCCTCCGCCCACGTGGGGTCCTCTGCCAGGTGGGGTTCTCCCTCATCCCGGGGCATGAATCGCATCTGGCCCATCTGGAGTATGGTCTCCCGTGCCCCGTTCACGGTGTACGGAATGCACTGCGGAGGCGAGAGAGGGTCTCAGTCCAGCAGGCAGGGGTCAGGGAGAGAGGAGATGGGTCTGGAGGACGCGGATCGAGCCCCACCTGCCGTTCCAGTTAGGATTTGCAGACGTCATCCATCACTTGGTCCACCAACTCCTCCAGGATGTCGCCCACCACCTTCTCACCCTCCTCGCGAGCCCTCAGCTTTGCCGCCTCCACCTCAGTGAGCCGTCCAGGCAGGACGTCCCCCTGCGGCACCGGAAGTTTAGGCGATGTCGCATTTTCTGCCTTGGGTCAGGTCACTCTGGAGTCTTGGGCCTGGTTCTCCTGCCTCTGTGGGAAAGGAACAGGCAAATCAGGGCGAGAAACCCAGGAGTGGAGAAGGAGGAAGCTTCCTCAAGTTGTCTAATAGGAAGGAAAAACCTTCTGAAAGGGACAATTTACTACGAGCCTACTATGGGACAGACGCTTTTCGGATGTGTGACCTAGCTAATTCAATTTTCCTAACAGCTCACTAAGCCCATTTTACAAAGAAACTGAAACTCGACAGAAGTTTACCTGCATTTGCTTGAGATTACACCCTGAACCCAGGCTATGTATAGCTCTAACCGCAGAGTGCTTGTTATTTGCACTAGTTTAAAGTGTTCAAAACTCTTGAGAGTTCAAAGAACTTGAGAAAGATGAGCAACAAACAGTGCTGGAAGTATTGGTGTGTTTAGAGTCTCCTCCCCTCCCTCAAATCAACTTAGGTCCTCACTTCACAATATACATCTCAATAAATTCCAGCTGAATGAAAGGATAAACACACACAGAAATAAAACAAAATAAAAACAAAACATAAAATGTAGGAAAAGTAGTTTAAATTGTCATAGAATCTCTGGGTAAGAGAGAACTACCTAAGCATAAACGTCATGTAAGAATAATAAACAAGTGGGTAGAAAAGTGTATACATACAGGTCAAATTTTCCTTTCCTTACTTTTTAAAAAATTCCTATGTACAAGCTGGTAATAGTAATTACCATGTACTGCCACTTAAAGCCTATCAGTCACATACATGGATTCAGTTGCTATACTTTTTAGAGTATGTACTAAAATAGTAGAGTATTTTTATCCCCGCTTTACAGAATTTGCCCAGGATCAGAGAGCAAGGAAGCAGTGCAGTTGTAATTCATATGCAGGCAGGTCTGCCTCCAGAACTTGACTTTATCCTGCTTCCTAAACAAACAAACAAAAATGTTTCCAACAAATATTAAAAAGAATAAATATTCCACAAATATAAAACTGCACATAAATTGTTTTAAAAATCATAAGACCCCCAAGAATAAGCAAAGGACATAGTTCATAAAAGTAGAACTGTTGATGGCATTTGAAAAGATGTGCAATTTTCAAAAATATCAATTCCAGTTTTATAAATATACCAAAAAGCATATTCTGAAATGAAAATAAAACTATATTCTCTAAAATATTTTCTGTAATGTCATTTATAACAGCAGAATATTGAAAACATAGGTCTAACAAAAAGAGAACAGATGGCTAGTTGTGTGCGAGCTATGTGATGGAACATTATCCCATGATTGGAGGCAATCTTCAGGAAGAATTTACAATACCATAGGAAAATTCTTATGATATATTAAATGAAAAAGCAGGACACAAAATTACATTAGCTATGATCTCAGATATGTAAATCAACAGATGTTGAAGAAAAGGAAAAGCCCAAAATTGTGGGAAAAAAAATAACTGTAATGGTGGATATATTTCTTTCCTACACTCCTCTCCATTTTATAAGGTTTCTACAATGATTTTGTATCCTTTTATAATCAAGAAAAATCCACTGAGAAGGAAAAAAACCCCAAAACTAGTCCCCCAAAATCCGTTAACGACCCAGGAATTTACTAGCAGATTCTTTTTTTTTTGATTGATTTATAATCATTTTACAATGTTGTGTCAAATTCCAGTGTAGAGCACAATTTTTCAGTCATACATG